ATATAAGCAATAAAACCTGGTGATCCTGCCAGTCCCCATCATAAACACCTGCTTGTTTCCTTCTGACCAGGCTAGCCGTAGAAGCAGACCCATGCCCTGTACAGCTTAAATAACAGTGCCTGGAATATGTGATGTCAACCTCCACTCCCATCCCTCCAAGGACACAGCTCACATTTTTATTAGAATGGTATGCCTCATGTTAGTATATTACATATTACATGGTTTAAACATTTTAATAATGAAAGGATTCACAAACTCTGTAACTGTTGTTGGAAGCCCATGTACGTTAACCCTAAAGAATTTGATATTATAAGTGTGGATTCTCATCCTCTATTAGCTTGAGGCTTCCAGCACCAGCAGTTGAAATAGGGATATCCTGAAAAGTAGGGATGCACAGTTACCAAGTACCGTACTTGGTACAAGTACAAGTACAGATACTTTTTCAGCTACAGGACTAGACTAGAGAAAAACTCAAAAGTTAGGAGGCAGCTGTCATTTTTAAGGAGCATTGGATTCGCTCCTGGGATTTGTGCATCCCTGTTTCAATGTATGATTTGTTTTAAATATTTATACATATATATTAGGGATGCACCGATACCATTTTGTCCAGAGTACAAGTACCGATGCTTATCCAAGTACTCACATATTTCAGTTACTGCTACCTTTTTTTTTATTGTCATGAGACAGTTTTTCTAAAACAATACATACTAATGATTTCAGGGCAGTAGTGGAGCGCCAGGCCCCAGTCACAGCTGCAAGAACGCTTGTTTTTGTGAAAATGTCAAGTATTGGCACTGGTATCTGAACTGGTATCTGTACATCCCTACTGAAAAGTGTAAGTGCTGCAAAAGTACACTCCAACGGGGGCCTCCCAGCAGAATGAACTGCTGTGAATGCACTCTTTGTACTATATCTGTCTAACTTCATCAGGCTGGAAATCTGGTGTATCTGCTAATAATGGTCCTGTGTGCAGAGAGCAAGCAGCTTTCCAGCTTAGCTGTAGTATCGAAGAGGTGAAGTGGAAAATGTGCAGATAAAGTGAGGCCATCAGCATGCCAGTGCTCCACATAATCTAATCAGTATCACAGTCAGTCAGCAATGCACTCTGACATGATTTAGATCTAAAACCCTAATGGCTGCCACAGATATTCGAGGGCAGTAGGACATGCAGGCACAATATGATTGTTCAAAGGCAACTTTGGCAGCCAGAGCTTACATAAGCACAAAAGGTTTGTTTTTTTACCCTATGTAGCAGGGTGAAGGAGGCGTCTCTGGTATCAGTAAATCCGGAATAAACTAAACTAACTGGAAAACATTTTGCAATCTGCCCAATTACATCCCCTCCTGACAGTGGCGGAACTACTGCCGGTGCTGCC